GCCGGGGCGGCAGCGCTGCGCCTTCTGCAGCCCGGAGAGCCATGGCGGGCGTCTGCGCCGGGCCGGACCCGTTGCCAGGCCTTTGACTCTGCGCTGGATCCGCTGGACTGGCGCGCGTGCGCGCCCGACTTTGCACTGGATCCGTTGGACTCGCTGGGCTGGGCTCGATGGACCGGCTGGACCGGCTGGACCTGCTGGGCTCGCTGGACTCGCTGGACTTGCTGGACTCGCTGGACCCGCTGGACCCGCTGGACTTGCTGACTCGGGTGTGCGCGCCGACTTTGCGCTGGATCTGCTGGACTCGCTGGACTCGATGGGCCCGCTGGACTCACTGGACTCGCTGGGCTCGCTGGACTCGCTGGACTCGCTGGACCCGCTGGACTTAAGCTGGATGGACTTGCTGGACCTGCTGGACCCGCTGGACCCACTGGACTCGCTGGACTTGCTGGACTTGCTGCACCTGCTGGACTCGCTGGACTTGCTGGACTCGATGGACTCGCTGGACTCGCTGGACCTGCTGGACTTGCTGGACTCGCTGGACTCGATGACTCGCTGGACTCGCTGGACTTGCTGGGCTGAACCCACTGGACTTGCTGGGCTGAATCGCTGGACGCTGGGCTCGCTGGACCCACTGGACTTGCTGGACTGAATCGCTGGACTTGATGGACGCGCTGACTCGCTGGACTTGCTGGACTTGATGGACCCGCTGACTCGCTGGACTGGAGCTGGACTCGATGGACCCGCTGGACGCGCTGGACTCGCTGGACTCGCTGGACTTGCTGGACTTGCTGGACTTGCTGGACCCGCTGGACCCGCTGGGGCCCGCTGGACTCACTGGACTTGCTGGACTTGATGGACTCGCTGATCCATGGAGCCGCGACTCGCTGGACTCGCTGGACTCGCTGGACTCGCTGACTTGCTGGAGTCGATGGACCCGCTGGACTCAGTGGACCCGCTGGACTCGCTGGACTTTGCGCTGGATCCGCTGGACTTGCTGGACTCGCTGGACTCGATGGACCCGCTGGACTCACTGGACTCGCTGGACTCGCTGGACTCGCTGGACTCGCTGGACCCGCTGGACCTGTTGGACTCGCTGGACTCGCTGAACCCGCTGGACCCGCTGGACTCGCTGGACTCGCTGGACCCGCTGGAGCCGCTGGACGTCGCTGGACTCGGGCGCGCGCGCGCTCTGGATCCGCTGGACTCGCTGGACTCGATGGACCCGCTGGACTCACTGGACCCGCTGGGCTCGATGGACCGGCTAAACTTGCTGGACTTGCTGGACTCGCTGAAGCCCGTCTTTGCGCTGGATCCGCTGGACTCGCTGGACTCGCTGGACTCGCTGGACTTGCGGGACACGCTGGACTCGCTGGACCCCCTGGACTCGCTGGACTCGCTGGACTCGCTGGACTCGATGGACCCGCTGGACTCACTGGACCCGCTGGACTCGATGGGCCCGCTGAACTTGCTGGACCCGCTGGAATCGCTGGACTCGCTGGACCGGACTCGCTTTGTGCTGGACTCGCTGGACTCGCTGAACCCGCTGGACTTGCTGGACTGGACTTGCTGGACTCGCTGGACTCGCTGGACGCGCTGGACTCGCTGGACTTAGACGCGTGCGCGCGCGCCTTTGACTGTGCGCTGGACTCGCTGGATTCGCTGGACTCGCTGACTCGCTGGACGCGCTGGACTCACTGGACTCGCTGGACTCGATGGATCGCTGGACCTGCTGGACTTGCTTTGCGCTGGACTTGCTGGACTCACCCGCTGGACCCGCTGGACTCGCTGGACCCGCTGGACTTGCTGGACTCGCTGGACTCGCTGGACCCGCTGGACTCGCTGGGCCCGCTGGACTCGCTGGACTCGCTGAACTTGGGCTGCGCTGGATCCGCTGGACTCGCTGACTCGCTGGACTTGCTGGACTCGCTGGACCCGCTGGACCCGCTGGACCCACTGGACTCGCTGGACTCGCTTGACTCGCTGCATGGGCTCGCCGGACGTGCTGGCCCCGCTGGACTCGATGGACCTGCTGGACTTAGTGGACTTGCTGGACTCGCTGGATTCGCTGAACTTGGGCTGCGCTGAACCCGCTGGACCCGCTGGACCCGCTGGACTTGCTGGACTCGATGGACCCGCTGGATCGCTGGACCTGCTGGACTTGCTTTGCGCTGGACTTGCTGGACTCACCCGCTGGACCTGCTGGACTCGCTGGACCCGCTGGACTTGCTGGACTCGCTGGACTCGCTGGACCCGCTGGACTCGCTGGGCCCGCTGGACTCGCTGGGCTTGGGCGCGTGAGCGCGCGCCCCGACTTTGCGCTGGACCCGCTGGACTTGCTGGACTCGCTGACTCTTGCTGGACTTGCTGGACCCGCTGGACTCGCTGCGCGCACGCGCGCGTCCCCGACTTTGCGCTGGATCCGCTGGACTTGCTGGACTCGCTGGACTTGCTGGACCCGCTGGACCCGCTGGACTCGCTGGACTCGCTGGACTCGCTGGACTCGCTGGACTCGCTGGACCCGCTGGACTCGCTGAACCCGCTGGACCCGCTGGACTAGCCTAACTCCCTGGACTCGCGGAACTTGGGCTGCGCTGAACCCGCTGGACCCGCTGGACTCGCTGGACTTGGACTCGGTGGACTCGCTCTGGACTTGCTGGATCCGCTGGACTCGCTGGACTTGCTGGACCCGCTGGACTTGCTGGACCCGCTGGACTCGCTGGCTCGCTGGTCTCGCTGCACCCGCTGGACTCGCTGGACTCGGGCGCGCGCACGCCCGACTTTGCGCTGGATCCGCTGGACTCGCTGGACTCGCTGGACTTGCTGGACTCGCTGGACCCGCTGGACTCGCTGGACTTGCTGGACCCGCTGGACTCGCTGGACCCGCTGGACCGCTGCTCGCTGGACCTCTCGACCCGCTGGACTCGCTGGACCTGCTGGACTCGGGCCTTGACAAAATATGCAACAAAACAAGGAAACTGCAAGGCCAAAAGCTTGCACACCCGGGCCGCCCGCTTCAAGGGCTTATTGGTTGAAACCCCACAGCGGGTGCCCAAAATTGGTAGTTTCCTTTTAGTTAACCTGCAAAAGAAACAACTAGTAAAATGTTGAACATGGTCACATGATCACATGTGCTGCTCTTCTTGGGGGGGAACCAGGGACAAGATAGGAACGAAATGTGCCACCGGCTGCCGTGATTCGATCTACAGCCAAGCCACAGGCGCGGATAACCGCGAAACACCAAAAACATGCCCAACGGTCGATGCGACTGTTTCTCTTTGTGGGGATGGTTTTCCTTTTCGATGTCCTTCCAAAAAAAGAGCACCTCAAAAGGACACGCGCATTTACACAGCCTGCGCGAACTTTTGCATCAAACAAATGATCTGCAACGTTCATGATGGAAAATCTTTACGTGGTCACGTTGGGCCCTTGGGATCCCCTTAAAAGTTGGACTCGGCACATGCGGGTTGAGCTGTTGTTGTTTTTCCGGGAACACTTGTAAAGGTTCACTTAAATTATTGAGGGGCCAATTGCAAAGGGAACCGGCAATATGTTTGACAACCCCTCCAAAGTAAGAAGCACGAAAAACGCCAAGTTGTCCAAGGCCTACCCGCCCAAAGTGCACAGAGGGTTGCGCCAGCGAAATCGAAAACCTGAAAAATACGAGTTTTCGGATGTCTACTCGCCCAAAGCAAGCAGAGGGTCCGCTCTGCACGGCACGGAAAGCTGGCCGCAAAATGGACGATAAGAACAAAGAGACAAATGCACCCAAAAACAAAAACGCAAACACATACATACACAAATGCAAACACTCCCACGCACACACAACCGCACCCGCGCCCGCACCCACACAGAATCACGCGCAAACACACACACAGACACACCAAGTCGACCCGCGCAATGTGCGCCGAGGGCAATGCCAGCGAAGTGGAAAAGCATTCCAAACGCCAAGCTTTCAAACGTCTACCCGCCTAAAGTGTGCAGAGGGCTGCGCGAGCGAAGTGGAAAGCATGAAGAACACCGAGGTTTCACAGGTCTACCCGTCCAATGTGCGCAGAGGGTTGCGCAAGCGAAGTGGAAAGCACGAAAAACAACGAGTTTTTAAAGGTCTGGCCGCCCAAAGTACGCAGAGAGCTCACCAATCAAGCCCGCAAACGCACGGCAGAGAAGACTGCCCGCAAAATGGACGCTAAGCGTCCATGGCACCCCCCCCCCCTAAAAAGGGGGGGGTTATCCTCTATCCTCTCTTAGGTGTCCGACACGCCGAGCAATGTCGGCGGATATATATAACATTGTGTATATTTATAGAGATATTACCATGTAATTGTTTGATACCGTGTTTTGGTTGTGGCTCATATGAAGCAAAGCAACATGGCACCCAATTGCTCAAGGGTGCACAGGTGCTGAGAGGAAAGAGATGGCTTGCAGCGCAACTTCAGCCGTTTGCTTTGCGCTGTGATTAGGGCTGCAGATGGGGCGTACTTTTGCTTGTTTGATGGTGTCGACATTTGCTAGTTCAAGATTCTTTATCCATTGGCTTGAAACATAGCCGGGTTGAACTTTGAGAGGACGCTTCGAGTTCGATTGATTTCCTCCCAAAAGGCAACCCTGGTTCAAGAGGGTGCAGAGGGTTGGCAAAGCCGGAGTCAATGAGACATCAGATTGCGTAGCAATGTTCCCCGATTTTATGAGGGGGTTTCCCTGAAAGCAAGGGCACAAGAAATTTGGTGCCTGAGAAACAACTGAGGGATCTTCATTTGGGGCGTACACTGGTATCCTTTTTCCAGCAAACAGGCGGAGCATCCCATCTTCCGGGAAATCTGCACCCAGGGCCTGTTCCCGAAAACAAATGTTCACAGGGGTTCTTAAATGAGTTTCTCTCCAAATGATGGAACCCATGCTCAAAATGGGCGATTTTCTCGTAGGTTTCCCCTTAGACCGATCCTAAGCAGGCACCTCTTCTACCGCTTCGGTTCGTGTGTCCGGTTCGTTGCTCACGCCAGGCGCGCAGCGCGGCGTGGTTCGCCAAGGCGTGGGTTGCCCTTGGGCCCTCTTGCCTCACCCTCCTGTCATGGAGCCCAGAGGGTCCCTGAGAGAACTTCTCTTCCAGCCTTGGTGGTTCCCCAAGGCCATCCGGTGCCTTGGCCAATTGGCCTCTTCGTGTTTCGTGAAAGCTTTCCATTCAACCAGCTTGAGCTTTTGGCGGGGGATCTGAGGACAGAGGACCGCGAGCTTGCATGTGGATGGGAGGAAGAACAGGTTTCAGGCCACATCTGTTGGTTCAGGGGCCGTTTCAAAGGGGTCTGGTTCTCAAGCCAAGTTTTCGCGACCCAAATCCTGCGGAATTCAATCAAACAGCCCTGTAGCAAACTATCCTGTCTAATCTTGGTTTCAAAGTAGCCCACGAGCCCATTTGTATTATTTCCTCTTATGTCACTGTGTCCATCCTTACCACTAATTTTTCAATAATTTGACTGATGTGTTAGGAAAAGCTTCTCACCCCCCCCACCCCAACCCACCCCACCCCTACCCTACCCCACGCCACCCCACCCCACCTCGAACCCGAACCCCAACCCCAACTCCCCAACCCCAACCCCAACCCCAACCCCAACCGCAACCCCGCCCCACCCCACCCCACCTCCACATACTACTTTCGTACTTGAAAGTCCCCGTTTTTCAGCTGCAGCTAGAGAAGTGCACTTCGCGTATTACTTTCCTCTTGGTTGCACTGGCAAGTTGCATCAGGCTTCTGGCTTCTGGATACGGGTTTCTCGCCCCTCTGCACGCCAAACTGCGCCACACCCCGCCCACCCACCCCCCACCCCCCAACCCCCCCCCCCACCCCCAACCCCCCGCAGCTCCACCCCACCCACCCCACACCCGCCCGCCCCACCCCCAACTTTCCACATCACTCCAAGCGAGGTGCGGATGGGCACCAAGTGGCTGCAGCCCTCCACGAGGTGGGGGCCCATGCCGCGGAAGACCGCCTGGATGGTGGCGCAGCCCTGCAGCTGCAGCTACTACTACGGCGGCATGGAGGCCGCTTTCGGATCGATTTTGGGGGGGGCGCGCGCTTACGCACTCTTGCGCAAGCCTTTGGGGGTGGGAACGCCTCTGTGGAGAGTGGAAAAGAGAAGCTTTGGAAGGAACCGCCAGGTTGGGATGGGTGAGGGGAAGTTGTTGACGGGGAACCACGGGTGTGGTGCGTTTCTGTGAGGCTCGGTACCCTTTTTTGGGATAGTTTCAAGGGAAAGCAACAGAGAAACGCTATTTTTGGGGTTCCCGCCATACCCATATTTGACAGGGTGGACTGAGTGTTGGTTGGACTACCCTCTCAATACTGCGGGGGGCAGCATATTCTGATCTTTGACAGCATGGACAACCTCCCCCGAGGGTTGTGCCAAGGCCCCTTTTGGACGATTGCGTTTCTTTTGACAAGGGCTTCTGTGCGCGCTTCTGTGTTGGTTGGACCTGGTTGGACCTGCTTCTTGGCAGGTGACCCAAATAGCCCGCAGTCGGTGATTTCCCCCCAACAAGAAGCCAATCGGGGGGATGTGTTTTTTTGTGTTTTGCTGGACCGGGTTTGCCTCCGGGTCGTTTGCGCAGTTTGTAACGGCCTAGCCTTGGGGCCCTCAAGGAAGCCAGAAGGAGGTTGCTTCAACAACTGGCCGCTTTGCCGTGGTACTAGAAGACTCGCCCTTGAATTGCAAACTAGTTACGTGTATGCCCACACGTAAGGCGCCAAGAGCTGCCGAGGTTTTGGAAATGCCCCCAACCTACAGCAAAGCCTCCGCCGAGCATCTTGCCAGTTTTTGGCGTCGGCATTTTTGATGGGGCTCGGAACCCTATCTGACTGCCACGTTGTCAGCTTCCATTTGTTTAAGAATATATATATATATATATTCCCCCTCTTGGGTTTAAAGGGAATCTATCACTGCTGGAAATAGTCTTTTTTTCCCGGGGGACTGAACCGCAAATGGAGGGTCAGCTTCCTGCAGCCAATGAAAGCGTTCACTTCGTCCAAGCCCGTCTGTGAAAACTGTTTCTCTCCTTCCAACTGCCCGTGGGGAGCCTTGAATCAGGGGAGCTTGCGGTGTGTTGTTTGCAGCCAAAGTGCGTGGGTGTGGGTTCAGAGGCTCGGAGGCTCTCGCATGGTATCCAGGTTCAGCCCATTGCGTACCCCATGTGGATGCTGGAGCTGATGCAGGAGGTGCGGAGTCTTTGGCTGGGATGACTACTCACAAGCGAATCGACCGGATCTCACCTTTTGGTTTCCCCTTGGTCCAATTTTGGTGGAGTCTAGTCGAGTCACATTGGTAAGACAGCATCTTCATTTTTTGTCATGGCCCCGAAAGGTGATATCACCTTTCCTTTCTGGGTCGCCAAACTGGGCAACTGAGAATGGGTACCGCGAGAATGCAGACCCACTTGCGGTTGGGGAACCTATTCAGCACACCCATCGTGCCTCTAAGCAGAACATTTTTTTTTCGGTTTCCACAGGTCATGCCCAAGTGCGGGTTCTCGGACTTGGCGGAGATGCCGGACAGCTGCAACTGGGGCGAGGTTTGGCAACATCTTGTCACCCCTTCTAAGATTTACCAAGATGACGGTAGCACATTAAGCTTCCCCAGAATTAGCTTCGCCTCCCTTTTCGATCCTTTTCTTCTCCTTGGGTCCCCTTTGGGCCAAAAGTCTAGTTTTTTGCTGGGGTCCTAATTCCAGCCAAGTGATGAGGTTCATGATGCATGGTGCCCTCGGAATCAGGCAACTTGAACTTGTATGAGGACGGCACGCAGATGGTAGGCTGGCACGCGGACGACGAGGACTTGTTTCAGGGCAAGAGCAAGGACCGCCATGGAACTTGGGCTTGGAGGTTGCCACTCGTGATGCCAAAGGAATTCCCCGTTTTTCACACGCGAGTCATACTGCGGATGGGGCAAAATCCGGTTGACCGCACGGATGACATCCTTTTGATGAACCACCAATCCCAAGTGGTGCGCTTTTGTCCACCGGGACCACTATGTCACACAATATGCATGTGTTTTTAGAGGGCGCCCCTTTTGACCCCAGAAATCAGGGATGGGAATGAACACTTTGGTTAGGGTTCCTTCCCTTTTTTGGTTGGTATTTACATGCACCCCAAACGCACCCTGGCAAATTTGTAGGGCCTTCGAGCAACAAACTCTAAATGGACGCAATCCTGCACCTCAGAACCCCTGGTTTCTGATGATTCCCCCATACCAACCAGCCTTCTGGCTTCAACCATTTCACTTGCGAAGCGGACTCCACTGGTCCCATGATCACTGCACGTACAGACACACTGCCTTGTTTCTTTTTGGGGTCTTCAACAAATCGCTGCGTCGAACAGACACTTGCGCGCTATCTCAGCGGCAAAGGGTTCCATGACTCGCGCGTCACCTCCCGCAGTAGGGGCTTAGGAGTCTGGAGGCGTCCCATGGGTTTTGATGGGTCCAGGACATCCGCATCATCTCCCTGTCCCTGGGCGCCACGAGGCACTTCGAGCTGGAGCTGAACTGGCCTGCGCCCGAGGAGCCTTCGATCGGTTGGGCTTCGAGGATCCACTGGGTGCCCAGTGGTGCCTTTCTTTTTTTCTGAGAAGGGTGTCCCTTTTAAAGTCAAGCAACCAACAAAAAGGGGGTGCTTCTTTTTCCCGCGGCCACTGGGCGTCTGAGGCTTCATTGCTTGGATTTAGGCCAATTCACTTGGCATATGGTGCTTGGGACATTTTGTCCAACCAGTTTGGGGAGCGTCCTTCCCAAGAAGAAACCGCGCAGATGCTAACTCTTGTGTTTTCTAGGGATCAGGAAACATGGAGGCACTAAATCACGGCAATGGTTGATCCTTCCGAAAAGGACCCTGCAAAACCGCCGGAGACATCGGGCTTTCTTGGGGGAAGGACAAGAGATGGTCGGGACCCTTTCAGTTGAGGTTGGGTTTACCTTCTCAATCCACAGAGGGTCCCTCATTTCCGCAACCTGCTCCAAATACCCAGCGTCTTTCAGGGTATGATGAGATATTCACCATGGAACACCCGGGTTATATCGACTTTCATGACAGGTATTTGGGGGGTGGGTAGATTTCCCAGTGGGGTGATACATCCGGTGCACTGGCGGTTTAGACCTGGGGAAGACCGCATTGTTTCGCTCAGTGCCTCTTCGGTGGTGATCTTTTTTCCATTGGGCTTGCGGGTTGTTTCTTGGAACCACACTTCGTCATGATAGAAGTAAACTGACGGCAATTGTTTCGCCCCTGAGTGTCTTGATTGGTACTCTCTTTGGGATGTTTCAGAGATGGGCAGACCCTAAATGAGGATATATCAAGCAAGGGGTTGAATCGCCCAACCCGCCAAAATCATTCCCCTACTGGCAGCGCGTGAATCACTGGTGTGTTCAGCTTCCCATTCATTGGTGGATGGGATTGGCTATTTGGTGGTTGAGGGGTGGCTTCTCATCTACCCTCAACAAGAACCTGGCGTTCAATTCCCCGAACCAATCCAAAGCACCAATTGGGGGTAGCCTGGATTGAAATCTTCGGGAGCCACCCCATAGAGGGTAGCTGATTTGGGTAGCTTGAGGTTGAGGTTTTGCATTGAGTCCCTTGGGCAGACCACCCCTTTCTCACCCAACTGCTGCCGGGTCGCCACCCCATCGCTCCTGCTCAGGAGGTCTTGGGTGCGAAGCAGCAGCTGGCAGATGGCGACATCTGCACCATGGAGGGTATGACGCAGAAGCACTACATGCATCGCGTGCCCGAGGAGGAGAAACCGATTGGCCAAAGGACGGGCTGTTGGGCTCAGAGGGTCTCTTTTTTATTATTTATTTTGACTTCTAGTGTGTTTTCTTCTTTTTTTCTTCCGCCCCTTTTTTCCCCCGGCCCAAACAGGTGGGTGGTTGGCCTTAGTTGTGTTTGTGTTTGTTGTTTTTCCTGCCCCAAAAAGGTGGGTTGTTCAGCTGTTTCAGCTGTTTGGCCAAGAAAGGGGAACACATGCACCAAGGGACGGGGTTGCAGTTCGCGCTTTCGGCCAAGAAGGGGCTTGTGAGTGGTACTTCATTTCTGGGCCCACACTACTCAAAGGGCACCGAGCTCCTTTTCGAGGGATTTCCAATTTTTCAACATGGAGTATTAAGATAAAGCAACCTCCAAAATTTTGTGATTGCCCTGTTGGTGTCCCTTTCACCAAACCTGGAAACGAGTACCCTGAACAACACACACACACACACCCGCTGAATGGATCGTCCCGAGGATCAACCTCACATGGCGGTGGGTCGCCAAGCATGAAACCACCTGCAAGCGGGCCGTAAGCTGAGGTGCCCAAAACCGATTCGATTTTCTTATCGACATGTTGGAAGGTTCACTCATGGGAACCCTGGCTAAATGGACTCTTGCTTGATTTTTTTTAGGGGGGTCGCCTTTTAGTGGGGGATTCATCCCTCTTGGCGGGAGTAACCATCTGGGTTTGTTAATCTGGGGTCCTCATTAGGTTGAATGGTTCTAGCAAGAATGGGTTTTGGGCGCTGAGCTAGCACGGAAGCGAAAAGTTGCGCCTGCGGCCGGAGTTCAGAGAGACAAAAATATGGGCTGAAAAAAGCCGAATGGGATTCTTCTGCGGGCTTTTCCTTTGGCGGGCTTGTCCAAATGATAGTTGGTGGGGCCTGATGTCTGAAGAAACTGCTGGGGGAGGTCCAAAACAGTTGGGACATTGAGAAAGCAATTTCCAGGGTACCCAACATCGCCATTTCTCGAAACTCAGCCCAGCAGCTTGTAAGGCGGGTTCAAAGAACTGTGGTTGAAGCAACTGGACAAGGAACGCATGGCTTATCCGCTGGTAAAGGCTACCCTTACTTTGGTTAATTGGGTAGACATAGATGGCAGTGGTTGAGATTGGCTAAAAAATCCATTTGCCCGGGCCATCGATTTTCAATCGGTCACCCATGTTGGTCAAGCGCATTTAGCCACAGATTCCTTTCAGGGGGCCGTTGGGAAGCTGTCGAACCTCTGGTCCCGGCTGCTACCTCCAACGTGCTGGTGACAGGTGCCCCTTCACACGGTGCTGGCAAAGAAGGATGACTTGACCCTCTCGGATGGCGCCGGCCTCAATCGAGGTTTCGTCTCCCATGTCGAGCCGCTCCTTACTCTTGGGGTATACCCCGGCCTCCCACGAACATGCTGTGGGAAGGTACCTGGACCAAGCTCCTTGTAAAGGAACCGACCCTCTGTCAGGTTCCATGGTGAGTGACATGATATAGCCCAAAGTTCTTGCCGGCATTTTGCTGGTTACGGGTGGTTCCCTTGTCCTGACGGTGGGCACCACTTTGCCCATGGTTCCCGTAGCTCTTCTGCTTCCCATCAAAATTTGGTAATGACTCTTTACCAAGTGTTAAGGGCATGCAAGAGGGTCAAACATACCCCAAATGGGAGAGATAAGATGTATAGCCCATATACAATGATTATGCAGTGGTGATAGTGGTGCTATATCATCCATTTTCCCCTTGGGAGAGTGCTTTGGGGGCAGACAGCCCACTCTGAATGTCATGTCGCGCGCATGCTGTCGGAGGTTTGGCAGCATGATGTTGGTCCAGGCTTCAGATTGAAGGGATACTAGTACCGTTTGGCTCAAGTTCTACCTGTCAGGAAGCAGGCTGACTTGATTGCCTCCTCCTGGCACTGCGCAGCAGCCCTCAATCCAAACGCTGTATTTACCCGTGCTCGCAATGCAGCCTGTACAGCTTCAAGTCCAAATGGTAGAGCGCCTTCTTCGCGTCGCAGTCTGTTGTCTTGTGGAATACGCCGTTACCTTTATCAGCTACGTAGCCGCTGTACCAGAGAAAAGGCCGACCCATTTGTGCCATATCTGATATCGGTGCGGCTCAAATATTGATGTGTATGCAGTCGGTTGGAGAAATGCTTGCGATACCAGCTGCGAAAAATTGGCTTTCCGGACACAATGCAGCACAACCTCCCCCCAATTTTTGGGTTTGTTCATGGAGTCTTCAATCAGCAGTGCGCTTATTGTACGAAAGCCAATGGGAAACCTCCTGCCATGCCAAGAGACCTGGGAATCAGAAGACTCATCGAATCGGAGACCTTCGTCATAAATTCAGCGCTTTGCTTCCTCGCTGTCAACAGCACTGCCGGCTGCCGGCCAAAACCTGGCGATTTCCGCATATCAATGCATTACAAGCTATTGTCGGCACAACTCTCGGCAAAACTCTGGGTGTTTTTTCAGCCGCTAAGTGCCATTGTTGTTAAAGGTGCTGCTGGCAGTAGGCTTCAAAAGCGTTTAACAACGAAAACTAATCGTGCGCAGCTGGACAGGGCGACCCCTGTGCAACATGTGCGTACTTCAGTGTTGTATGCGCGGTCTCGCAGCGACGATTCACGTCGAAGTGATTGCGATTCCTGGGCTTTGTGGGGGGAGAGGGATTTGAGGGTTCTCTGTTTATGTTGCGATGGGGTCGCGGGTCTGGGTCTTTCTTGTTGCCCTCTTGGCGAAACTGAGGGCGTCGCCTCAGTGGGGGGGAGCTGCTCCCACCGGAGAAAAAGGAGGAGGAGGAGGAGGCAGAGGCAGGTTGGTCTGGACCCCGCAGGGGTGCCTTTTTTTTGCGGGAAGTTCGGCTTTGAAGTCAGCTAAGAGAGTTTTCGCCTTTCCCATCTGAAGTACTTGAATCCCGAACCCGTCGGCAAGACCCAAATGAAGGACGGCGGGCACGACCCCCCTCCCCCCAAAAAGAAGAAGAGAAACCATCACAGACCCGAGAAAAGAGATGCGTCATGGGAGCTTGGGAGCAAGACCAACTCCAGGGCGTTGGGCAGGACCTGCTGGAACTTCCAGATCCTCCTCCGATGGATGCTCGCACCTGGAAGTCTGGCCCTCAGCGAGCGTCTCGCACATCCCGGATCCCGGGCCGGGCTCCGGACTGCGCGTGACTGCGAAGGTGTCCCCAGCCTAGCTACGGGTATGTGTCGACACTAGCGGGACCCGCAACATGGGGTTTTCCTGACAGTTGACCTTTAATCCACTGTGAAAGTGCGCCCTCAAAATGCACCCCCACACACCATACACACATAGACACGTACACACACACATGGACACATAGACACATAGACACATAGACACATACACTTCCGCACACATACACGCATACACAAATGCGAACATACAAACATACATGCATTCATACATACATACATACGGACAGGCAGACAGACAGAGACCGACTTACATGCATACATACAGACGGACGGACAGACAAACAGACAGACAGACATGCAGACAGACAGGGACAAGGACAGAGACAGAGACAGAGACAGAGACAGAGACAGAGACAGAGAGGCAGGCAGACAGACAGACTAACTGACAGACAGACGGAGCTGGAGCGTGCTATGACTGAGCAAGCGCACGCTTTAAGTCTGTCGCCCGCCAAAAAACCTTAGCATGATTCCAACCTAGTGTCTCAGGCGAAGCAGCTAGAGTGCAGCAAGGAGAAGACAGCGGCACTAGAGTCAGTTATCTTTGAGTAGGGCCATGCTCGAAGTCTGTCGGGCAGGCTGCTCTTTATCGGCGCTGTTTGTTTTTACTCGGCGGCGCTGTCAGCTGGCACACACAGCCTTTTTCAATTTTGGCTTGCAAATTCCACAGCCTCGTAAGACTCTATGCGTCCTGGTACCACGTGTCGCTGACTTCGCCACTCGCGGTAGGTGCAGATGCTACTTTAGAGGACCAAGGCCGGCAACCAACAGTACCTCAAGGGGCAGCGCTAGGAGAAGCCGCAACGAGTGTGGGGACCAGTTCGTGTACGGCGTTGGCTGCCAAACGTGTGTGAGGGCTGGGCCACATTCTCTGACATAGGTGGCTTGCAGGCCAAACAGGCAAAGATCGGTTTGTCGCAACCCCTGTCAAGGCTGATCGGAGTGTGTCCTTTGTAACAGCATGACCCTGGTTTGTTTTCACAAGGGAGCGCTGCAGCTTTGCGAGACTTCCGCGTAAACACTAGGTTTTCTTGTCGGCCAGAGCGGTGTTTCGACTGATAGAGAGCCCTGGTGGTACGGGGCTGGCTTGGACGCTGAGTTGCGCGCACCCCCCTTGTCATTGCGGCGATTGACCTCCACGTCGCTGTTTCGGCCCTTTCCCCTGATGAGGCTCTGCCTCCGTCGGGCGGCGATGCGTTGGTTGCGCATTTTGATGGTGTTTTGTTCATGTGCGACCTTTGCTGCTGGTGGGCTTCCCAACACACACACACACACAAGAACGCATTCACTGATTCACACAGCCAAACATTTGTGCGTCCATACATTCATACATCTATACATTCATACATCCATACATCCATTGCATGCACGCATACCTGCATACCTGCACACATGCATACATAATACATGTATTCGTGCATTTGCGTGCATTTGCAAATGGAGGATGGCAGGTCCAACATGCTATCCAGAGGGGTAAACCGACTATGGCCGAAACGCCTGCTTGCTTGAAGGTTAGAGCTGGTCTCGCGCCAAGGATTCATGCAACCGCTTCCTAACAAGGGATGACCATGGCTTACATAAGGCGTTTTGCTCATGTTTATATGAGTCCCGGCCCATGTACACTTCACCCTTGCATGGCCACCCACCCTTGGTGTGAATCAGGTTAATTGGGAGGCGCACATCGCCATGTTGCCACACACACACACACATGCACCAACGTGCTGCGCACATCGCAGCTTTAAGAACACCAGCCGCTGTGTTTGCGTCTATCACCTTGTGGCCCCGATGTTGATTTTGAGTTCGGGGCGATCAAGGGAACCAAATGATTTGAGGTGGTTCCCGGTTTCAGCGCCGCCTTGCGCCCTTGTTGGGTTCTCAAAGAATCCCAGTTTTTGGCTGCAACACACATTTCTTTTTCTAGGGTCACAAGGGACTGAGACTGCTCAGGAAGACCTTCCTCTGGCAGGTGATCTCCATCGTCTGCTACTCAGTTGAGAACTGTTTGCTTCTCAGGTCTAGTTGGACTTTGCTTTGTTCTTGTTGCTTTGGTTCCGTTCATTCCCTATTTGTGGAGATGGTCATTAGGGAATGGTTTGAAAGGCACCTTTCCATCAGAGCCCCCGAAGATTCCGCCGAGCCCAGGCAAATTTGAAGCTGGGTCTGCGGTTTTTAAAGGGACTCCGGTAGTCTCCGACCCAAGCTGAATCGGGGCTGGCCTATTTGACACTTTTTGGGTATTTTGCATGCCCGGAGGGAGGGGGGGGGTAACAGAGCTCAGTTGCTTGCCACGAGGTCTTTGTCCTCATCGTGACGCAGTTAGGCAAGCTTGGGTTGGGTGATGGAGATGTTGGGAGAAGGCGAGCTCCCAGCACGCTTGAACGAAAGGACCAGACTTCTTTACATCTCGGAATGGAACTCACTTTCAGTTTCGGGGCGTCGGATCTTTGTGCTGGTGTCAAGGCGAAACCCAGCCATGTTTGGGAGTCGCTTTTCCCAATGTTGAGAAAAACAGCTTCCATCTTTCAAGGAGACATCCAACTCATGGCTCCCTGGTTCTTATTTTAATGCTCGTAGCACTTTTCAGACCGATTCAATGAGGGGGTGGGTGAGGGGGTGGGTGGGTGGGTGGGGTGGGGTGGGGTGGGCTTCGCTTTTTTCGCTTTTGATGGGAGCCCAGTGGGCTGACGACCAAATACTTTCTCCCTGATTGATGAATCGGGGGGGTGTTTTGAAGGGATCCGAATGACTTTGAATGTGTCATGACCCCCCGAACAGCGTATATCGGTTTCTTTCTGGTTTCCCTTTAAAGCCGACCCCGAAGAGGTCAAGCATGGTGAAGCAGCAACCAAAACGCAAAATCAGCAACGAGCGCATCCAGCCGTTGCGGAAACCGGTGGCGGCATGCCTGCCAAACAGCGTAAGTTCCCATTCAAACCGCATGCGCATCCTGCCAGTGACACCCATTTTCAGGCCAATCTCCCGTGGGTTTTAGTCAAACTTGGGGTCCTTTGTGCTTCTCTGGATCTCCCACGCCTGGCGAAAGCAGCCAATCTCCACGAAAAGCGCTTGGCATGAAGGGCGGCGAGGAGCGTGAGCTCAGGGAAGAAGGTTGTCACCTGTGTGCGCGGACATCTTGACATCGCGCACAGCCAGTTGCATGTGGCTGTGGGTCGAAAAAAATAACCCCAAATGGAACCCTGGTAAATGGAAAGAAGGACTAAAACCTGCGGTCGCCTGGTGGTTTAATTTTGACCCATACCCATGTGAAAGACTGTTGTGGCTGACTTGAGGCTGCTGGCACCATGGCGGGTTGTCCTGGCGGTCTTTCCTTGAGAACACGCGCGGCTGCCACAAATGCGGGCCAAGCTTTCTAGCGGCGCTTTGCCACGATTCTGCGCTCCAAGGCCACACACAGAGCTTTCGGGAGTCGCATTCCATTTCCTCCAGTGCCGTGCGCATGTGTCATTGCTCCCCGGCACGCCAAGGTGCAGCAACGCTGCAAAAGCTTGTTGGGTGATTCTTGCCGAGTATCACTGATACCAAGGTGTCTGCCGAGTGAAGTCGGCCGACGGGCGCAGAGCAAGAAGAAAAGTGAAGCTTTACGGCTTCCAGCACAACATGATGATGCGGCAAGAGGGAGTGGAGAGCATCTTTTATACCCAGGGAACTCATTGTTGCTGAACACCTACAGGAACAAACTCAAACATGGACCCAGCTTTGAGAGAACCGAGCCAGCCTGAATCGAGCGAAGATGTACGAGTCGCGGCTCAGCCAGAGGTCTTCCCACGAGCTAGACTTCCGCTTCGCCTGTGGCAGGTCCAACTGCTTGCGGAGCGGCAGTTTCTTGCGGAGTTCTTGCGTCGGCGCTGCGTTTGTGCGAAGCGTGGCTTTCCCGCCGTCTTTCTTGTCTTTCTTGCTGCGGGACCGGGTGCAAGTTGCGACAGCTGGCAAGAACAAAACAGCAGACACATCTCGAGCCCGGCGCAAATCAGGTACACGACAGACAAGAACGTTGCAAGCCTGACGTGGACTCTTCACCTCATGGCCTCTTCAAGGCATGGGCAAAGCACGCCGCGACGCACCACAATCAAAGGCGAGCGTTGCGTTAAAGCCTGTCGTGGACATCGGCTAACTTTTCCTGACAGTCCTTAAAGCGAGTGGGACTGGGTGGCCCTGCCTTGCAGTGTGCCGCCAGCACCAACTGGAAGTTGATGTCTCGTTCACGGGCTTCTTCCAAGGGCCATCGTGCCATCAAAGTCAGCCGCCCTCAAACTTCCTGTTGACCGGCAAGACATGAGGGCTACATGCGGAGACCATGTCGGACGCTTCAATTGTACACCGTGTGTGAAATTGTCACTTACAGCGCCTATTCATTGCACACCTGGCCGGGAAAACTGCCAGGGGAAAGCTCGGGGACCACGGACGGCTCACGCCTGCTGTCAGCCACCACTGTCACTTCTTCAGCTTCCAAGTGGGCACTTTGGTTGAGCCACCCTTCAACTAGCTGGTTGTTGGAAGGGAGGCGTCACGGGGCCGGTGGTATCCAAATTTGCTTTTGAAGAGGGAGCCTTCCGGAGCTAGCGATCAGAGTTCTGGTTCGGGACATGGTGGTCAAGAGCAGGGTTGTGGGATCACTCGGGGTTTATCCCCCACTTCTGTGACACCTTTGGGAATCTCCCCCTTTATATTGGGGGGGTTAGTTTTTGGGAAGCCCTGTTTGTGGTATCACAGAGGTGGATCCCATGAGTCCAGACGGCACCCACGAGGGCATGCAGCTGCAGGCACCTGGTACCACGAGGAGGAGCTGCGAAAGATCCTGGCCAACTCCACGGCCGCGAGCCAAGGGGGCGGGTATCCCTTGGGTCCCTTTCAACGAACCAAGAAGGGTACCACCAACGAAAGACAGTCCCAATTTTGTGGGGTTTGCAGGCTTTTCCTTTTGGTTTCCAGCAGAAACCACCAAGAAAGGGGCACCAACTCCCAGCTTTTTGGAGACTGGGGGACTGTGGCAGTGCACTTTTTCGTGATTTTAAGGCTTGATTTTGAGGGGATGCCAACTCGTGAAGTGGCGCACCCACTTGGTGGTTGAGTACCCTTTCGGAGCCCCCGGATTTCAGAACGAGACAAGGTGGGTGGAACCCGGAAGGTCTTCCAGATCTATCCTCCCGCAATTTGGTAGATTCGGTGAACACGTCCAGTAGTCTGTGGTATTCGGGGAAATTGCCTGAATGTTCCAAGCCGCCTAATTTTCAACCATGCCCTTTCCAGGAACCATGCGCGTCAAAATGAAGGGTTTTCCAAGATTGGTTGGTTGCCCTTTGAGCTTCGTTTTAAGCCAACCAAAAGGGTATTCCCCTCCAAAGCGAGGTGTCAGCATTTCGCCCGACGCAAGTGCCACCGGTCTCGAAGGGGAGGCCTGTTTAATAGAAACAACAAGAACAACAACACAAAGAAAACACCCCTGAAGAAAGGCAAAGGCCACTCCGAGTAAGTAACACACCCGTCTGTGACTTGTTGAAACTATTGGCTTTCGGATGACTCGACCGCGCCGCTCGCACGGAGCATGTCCCATGCCATGGGGCGCTTGGCAGGTGAACCTGTAATCGGATACCTGGGGGGTGGTTCACGTACTATATATAAAACACATATATTGAACACACGCATACCATATGTATAGATATATGACTACATATATATATATACACATATATTATGTATATGTATACGTATATATGTTCCAGGCCGTGGACCCCCCCCCCCCCCCCCCCCCCCCCCCCCCCCCCCCCCCCCCCCTGTGGGGGTGGGGGGGGTGGTGGGGTGGTGGGGTGGTGGGGTGGTGGGGTGGTTGGGTGGTTGGGGTGTGGTTCGGAGTTGGTTTAGGCTTGGTGGGTTGTTGGTTTAGGGTTGGTTCAGGGTTGGTTCAGGGTTGGTTCAGGGTTGGTTTGCGGTGGGTTTCGGGTAGGTTTGGGGTTTGGGTTGATTTAGGCTTAGGGTTGGGGTTAAGGAGGGGTTGCAGCGTGGTTTGGTTTAGGGTAGGATGTTGCGAGAGGTGCGGGGGTGTTGGTTCACGGGGTGAAAGGGGGAGTCTGGGACCGAAGCTCACACGGTACTGGACAGCATCCCCAGCATTGCCAGCATCATCCCCAGGGGAGTGGGGGGACCATACCATTGGGGGGGGGGGGGGGGGTACGTGGCCCAGGGACTGGTACATATATATACATATATATATATATATATATATGGTCGCCCCTCCAAGAACCTTTCACCATTCTTGTTGGAACGTGTCATGTCTACTCTTTCACATGTCTGACCACGCTGCAAAAATACAGGAATGTTTGTTGTGTTGTTGTTTTACCTTCTCGATGGTACCAGATGTTTTAACGGATAAATATGGCGTTTGTTTTAAACCAATGACTTTTCCGATGGTTTTGAGTGCACATAGCAAAACAATTTGTAATCACGATGATTATTGCAGCTTGGAGCTCTGAAACCTGCACAGGCAAGAAGCAGACAATTCTGAAGATGAAAGCTTTGAAACCTGCACAGGCCAAACAAAAACAGAGAAACTCCAGGCCGCAAACGGGCCATAGTGTAAACAACAGACATGGTAGTGCAGTTCCAATTTTGAAAGAATGCGAATTCAAAAAGACATTATGAGTAATTACGTTCTTTATTGTTCCAATGACATTTTCATTCAAATCATGCTGTTAAAGGAATTCATATTCAAGCTCTAAAGTATGATACAAATCCTAGTTGAACTGGTTTCCGCATAAAAAGCCATTATGCTTAGCCACATTGAATCTATATCATATTTGGGAATGCATCCCCCATTTTTTTCCGAAGACCAATTGTAGCTCTTACTTGGAAAGGACTTCCTATTCAACTTCGATTTGAATATAGTATCGAAATCCCGGTGAACTATGTCCTTACTAAATTCTATTCGGAAAGAAATTCATATTTGGACATTTCGGAGGACTCCGGGCTCCAAATTGAGGCTTTGGGGGCTTTGGGGTCTCCACATTGGGCAATTCAAGGATTCAGATCTCCAGATTCTACATTTCAAGTGTTCCAACGAGGAAACTTCAAGGGATGAGATGATATGCTGTAAAACGCGGTGCTTTTCAGCACTTACTCAGATCGTGTTCTCCTGGATCGAAGATTTGATATCCCCCCAAAAATGTCGGCGCTGCAAACCAACACAGGGTTTACAAACTATGATGCCAGTAATAAAAAACCTTGCCAAGGACGTGTCTTTTTTGTTGCGGGGGGGGGGGGGGAGCATGTTATATATACATATATATAGATATGTACACATGCATATACATGTCACAACGACCAAGGCTGGCAAGGGACTCGCACATTTGCCCATGGAAGCTCTCGCGCCTGGATGCTTGCAGGCTGGCCGTGGCAATGACTCAGCAGAGTTGTGACGCTTGCAAAGGGCCGCCTGCGTGTTCGCTCGAGTTTCGCATCGGCTGCCGAACCTGGGATTCGGGGCCGGCCGCAGCTTTTGGGGCCAGGCCTTTTAAACAGGGGGGTCCCCACAAAGAATCGACATCTCAAGTCCCGCTACACGGGTTTCTTTTGTGCTTCTCCGTTTTTGTGCTCGTGAGCTGCATGCGGGTGTGTCCTTTTGGGTAGCTTTTCTAGGTTTGTTCAAAGGAAATCTGGAAGGACACCAATCATTCCGAGACGTCCCTAACTTTGAGAGGTGGCTGTGGTTCTATGCCGCAGGTCCGGATCACAGGTCTCCCGCTGTTTTTTTGCCGCACGGCCATTAAAAAGAAAGATCACAACCTGCAGGGGCGCACTTGAGGAGGGATGCCAGTTTCATTTTGACAACTTGGCTGTTCTCAAGCCGCCTGGCTCGAGGCTCAAAGGTTGAGCACAGGGCTCTCATGGGCGTCACATGCAGCAAACGGACAGAGACTGAGTGTGACACAGGCAGGAAATTCCGGGTCAGCCATAAAGAGCAAGATTTCGACTAGCCCCGCTGGCCTCCTGGCCGCATGCCCCTGTCAAAGGCGAGGTGCGGGGATTGGTGGCAGAACCATGCATTCACTACCCTCAAACCACAGCCCGCAGTTGCAAACATGTTTTTATCCAGCCTGGGTCCTGGTTGTTAGGTGGTACCCTCGATTTGCTGCCCAACGCTCTTATGGCCTCGCACCTTGGGACCTGCCAAAAGGTGGTTTTGGGCCAGTTCTCTTCGGGCCTTGGGAAGAACACGGATCCCTTTTTGAGGGCTCGAGACCGAGAGCAGAAAGCGGGGAGGGGTCTGCGCGAAGGGCGCTTTCGACGGATTGGAAGGTTGGCAAGACTGCCAATGGATGCCCGGAGGCGCCGAGGGGGTTTCGCTTCCTGACGGCTTGGGAGAAGCTCCCTCGGTGGGTGGACGTGACTTCCACAAATCACTTTCGCCAGAGGGTCCCAGAGTACCATTTATCGCTATGAGGCAACCGCGTTGGGTTTTGGAAGGGGAGCCAAGACGAAGTCAAGTGGTATTTGGAGTGCACTTAGGAAGCATCCATAGGCACTTTCAGGCAAATGGCGGATATCTGCCAAAGATTGGGACTATCCTGGATTCACACAGGTGTCCGTTCAACCAAGTCCCAAAGGGAGGGTTGGTCCGTTTCGTTTTCAGATGCGGGCTTATGTGCGCATCTCCCCCTAAAGGGAAGCAAGCAACCTGCGACTCTCCTCCAAGCCCATGCTTCTTTGCAGATCAACCGTTGGTTTCGATGGCCACCCCTCTCAAGCCCAAACCATAAAAAGTCGGAAAGCTACCGAGATGGGGCCGTTCTCTCGGAGACACGCCCTCATATTTTAGTTGACACACCCTACACTCCACATGACCCGTTCCGCTAGCTCGTGGTTGACCCCCCAAGACTTGGTGCTCCCCCAGAGCAGCTTGGTTGGGGCGATGATCCGGGTCCTTTTGAAAGCATTTCGGAGCGATGGGAAAGTCGCCAACTTGTCCACGGTCCAAATGGCACACGTGCTCTTTCTCATAGGTCAGCCTGGAGAAGAGCAGATCCGCATCTGCAGGCGGCTTGGGTGCGGGGCTGGGCCTCGATATGAACCGAGCTTACACAACTCCCTGGTTGATTTTGATTGGGGCCTACGAAGTGGATGTGACGGTCCCTCTCCGGATGCCAATCCGTTCCACGAGGCGCGTGGCACATGTTTGGGGCGACACTACCCCTTGAGTCGACTGGAAGCCCTCCCTCTCGGGTTTCCCCCAGGTCTCGCACCCGTTGGCCTCTCGGGTTTCTGGGCGAATCGACCGGAGGTTTCCGCTTCTGGTTTCCCCTTCCCAGTTGGCCTTGAAAGGCGATCCCACGGATGTCTGGGTCCAAGCTCAGAGTGGTCTTGGGTCTCACCCCAAAGGCCTTCGTCGCAGGAAGGCTGCGGGCAGAGGTGCGGCCGGTGCGGGAGGCCTGACGCCCAGACGCTTCGCCAGACGGGGCGCCATCGGAGTTTTCCCGTCAGCTGCACGCGGTGCGCCACAGGGCGGATGGGACACCGCGCAGCTTTGGGAAGCCGATTGGAAAAGGGGTCTTTATGTTGTTGTTTTTTTTGGGGGGGGGGTGATCACTTAAAGGTTCTGCGGCGCGAAAAGCGCAAAAAAACGGTTTGGGTGGTTGGGGCGTTGGCAATTTGTATTTCTGAAGTGGCTCGAGCGTCGCCTTGGGCCGGTGCAGCCAAGTTGCCGGCGGTTTTCTTGGGGAATTCTCCGGATGGCATTTGGGAGTTTCCACCTCGGGCAAATGGCCACGGGTCAAAACCAATGGTACCATGTTGGGGTAGGTGCAGCACCCATTTTAGTCTATTTTAGTCGGGATTGGGATGTTCACTGGGGGTACAGGGTTTTGACCCACAGCCAAATTATGGCTGAGATAAATTTGGTTTTGGCTTCCTTTTCAACCCACACGGTTCCCCGGGCACCGCCGCTTTGCATGGCGGGCTGATGGAATTTTTGGTTTGGTCCTTGAAAGGGGGCCAGCGTCTGGTGGGTACAACCCAGACCAAGTGTGATTCGGCTTCCATTGGTGGTGATGCTTGAAGCAGAAGACCCTCCCATATAGCATGGAACCCAACATGATGTTGAGAGGAATGTTTCGGGAATTGGTTCTTACGCTCATGTGCAGGGAACACCTAGGAAGCCCTATGTTTGTTTTTTGCGACGTGTACCATCAACGCTGCCGGGACGTGGTACCCTTCCTGCTTTTTTTTGTTCGGGCTCGTTTCGAGGGACCGTCACCATGTGCGGTGTTGAAGCCAGTGATTTTCTTGCTGGTGCGAGACATGGAATGGTGTTCTTGCCGATCGATGGAAAGGGAATGAGTTGCATGGAACGAGCCTGAACCATCCTGGTGGTTTCCTTTGAGGGAACCCCCAGCTTCATTCCCTATGAGGGCATGACTCCTATAAACCATCCAACTGGTTTCCTTTACGGGAAGCCCCAGGTCCATTCCCACCTTCGCTCGCACCGATCGCAAGTAGTGGGGTGCCATGAGACCTCGGCGCCCCACCAGACGCGACTTCCAAGCACCGCGTGAGGACCGCCAAAGCCTCACGCCCACCCAGCCGCTGGTCTCGAAGGCGCCAAGCGAAGGGCAGGGTGTCACCAACAAACCCCAGCCAGATGGATGGTTGCGTGGAAACGGCCCAAGTCAAAACCGACGATTTGCGCAAGTGCCACCCCATCTTTGACAATTCAAACCCAGTGGTTTGGACAAATCTGGGCAAATATCGAGCTCCGATCGGTAAAGCACCCATGATGAAGGCTCCTTACTAGGGGATTCCCCCTCTTCCGGTTTGGGAGCTATTTTGAGTATTTTGCCCAGATCAGTATTTTCCACTGGATCTGCAGTGATTTAGGCGTTTCTCAAAATTAGATAGTGGGCGGTGAGAGAGGAGAGGAGAGACTCCAGGGATCAGGTGGCTCGCATTCTGCATAGATGCCCCGAGGAGGTTTGATTACATATATGTATATTTAAACATATGAATATATATATATATATACACATGCATATATATATATATATAAATCCAGGGATCCATCCCATTCATCGCTGTTGTGGACCTGCACAAGCAGGAGATCACCGGATACCCAGGTTCAGTGAGGGACCATTTGGGTTCCATGTGGATACCCCAAAACAGCCCCAGACGTGGGACCCAGAGAAACCGAGCATGAACTTGCGGGGACAAGCCCTTTTTTTTCTTTTCTAGCGGTACCTTTTCCATTCTCAGGCATCATTCTCTTCAAAGACTGGGCCAAACATTTGGAAAATGGGTGGTTTCCAAAGAGAATGGGTGAAGAGAATGGGGAATCAAGCCTTTTGGGCACTCGTCTCATGGGGGACGTGACACACCGACCGACCCGACCGCGCGGCAGGTGACCTGTGGGGCCATCGCCCTGCCGCGCCCCATCTCGGCCGAGAGGAGCGAGTGACCGCTCGCTCACCGTGGGAGTTTTGGGCATGCTCCGAATCGGCGGAGGGGGTGTCTTTTCAGAGTCATGGCTGTTGTTGTTGGGACACATTTTGCCTTTTTGCTGATTGTGGGTTCGTGGTTGAAATGTCCCCCACTTTACGGCTAAAAAGATTTCTGCTCTCCTTCCAACGTCAACCAAGAAATGGTGCACCCCGTTTTGGGTTGGCAAAGGGAAGCCAATTGAGAAGCACCCATTGGCCATACCCACCACTTTGGGGCTGCAGAATGGTGTTTGCAAGCTGGAGTCTTAGGATTTCGGGGCCCGCAGGAGCCCAACCATGTGAGGACGATCGGTAGGTCGATGGATATTCTCAAGATGGATGGGGTTGGGGTTGGGGTCTGTCTTTTGAGGGTATAGTTCATTTTTTGGTGGTTTTAAAGGGAAACCTACAGGAACCCCTCCATTTAGGGGGGAGCCCTAACAACGACACCAAAATGCGGCATGAGTATTCCGAAAAGGGGCACACCTTTCTGGTTGGGTGGCCATGCTTTGCTCCCATCGCTGGAGCTGCTC